ATGAATCATGCAAGCTGCTGTGTACACTGATCCCTTAGAGATAGCAGACCTGGTATTTCTGGGAGTGTTCAGTGGATAAGGGGTGACTGGAGTGCATCTATTGTTAACCTGCAAAGCAAAGTAAGGGCTAACATTGCCGAAAGGAGAGTATTTGGGTTGCTAACAAGCTGGTGATATCAGAGGGGTAGCATCCAGATAAGCATAAGCAAGGCATCCTCATGCTGGAAGGAGGGAATTAACAAGGTGACTTATGGTCCTGGGTACCCTAATAACCTTCATAATGATGTAGTTGCCAGGATTTACACAGTTTACTGGTTAGCTAAGTATCAGACCTCAAGCACTTGTAAATTAGATTCTAAGAGATTCACAAATGAGATGGTTGGGGAACAGACAAATAAAAGTTTGCAGTTTGTTATTTTCCATTTGTTTATTTCAGGTAAAGGAAAGAGAACTAAACAAAGTATAAAATGAGCCAGCAGGATAAATGGTCAAAAGTTCAGACTGATCCAATAAAAGGGCCTGAGGGCAAAGGCTTAGAAAATCAGCCTAAGGCAGCCCTCAGTGAAACAGCCATGAAGTTACAGTTGGCCAGGTTAGAGGTGGCAAAGGAACAAGAATTCCAGATGTAAACAGCCAAAGAGAAACAGGCAGCACAAGAGGAAGCCCACCAGAGAACCCTGGAGGCAGAAAAGCAAAAGTGGGAGTCAGAGGAAGCAGCACACCAAAGAGCCCTGGAAGCCGAGAAGCAGAAACAGGCAGCAGAAATAGCTGCACATTAGTGAGTCACAGAACTAGAGGAGTGGAAGTGGGAGGAGAAATCATCAACACAGGATGCTGGAGGCATGGATACAAAACCCTCAGGCAGTAAGCACTCCTCTCCAAGGATCAAATGATTGGGACAAATTCTGCCCTAGTTACAAGGAAACTGTTTGCACTGAGGAATATTTGACCATCTTTGAAAGGATCACTAGGCTATAGAACATCCCTGAGGGCCAGAGAATAACTGTCCTGCTCTCTAAGTTAACAGGGAAAGCATTACAGGTGTTTAATTATGTACATGTAATTGAAGCTATGACAGGAAACAAAGGATAGGAATAAATGGTCAGGTTTCACAATGGAGAGAGGTAAATAACAGGGTACCCCAGGGATCTGTACTAGGACCAGTGCTATTCTACATATTCACATGTTCTGAAAAACAGTGAGGTGCAAAGTTTGCAGATGACACAAGACTACTCAAGATAGTTAAGTCCAAAGCAGACTGCAAAGAGTTACAAAGGGGTCTCATAAAACTGGGTGACTGGGCAACAAAATGGCAGATGAAATTCAATGTTGATAAATGCAAAGTAATGCACATTGGAAAACATAATCCCAACTATACACACAAAATGATGGGTTCTAAATTAGCTGTTACCACTCAAGAAAGAGGTCTTGGAATCATTATGGATAGTTCTCTGAAAACATCTGCTCAATGTGCAATGGCAGCCAAAAAAGCTAACAATGTTAGGAACCATTAGGAAAGGGATAGGTAATAAGATAGTAAAAGTCATAATGCCACTATATAAATCCACGGTATGGTTATACCTTGAATATTGCGTGCAGTTCTGGTCGCTCCATCTCAAAAAAGATACATTAGAAATGGAAAAAGAAAAGTACAGAGAAGGGCAACAAAAACAACTGCCATGCATTTTGTAAACACCTGGGTGGTGGAGGGGGAGGAGAGGGAGCTGCTGACAGGCCAAACGGGAGAACTGTGAGCTGGTGGTAGGATTCACTGACCATGAATCTGAGGAAATTTCTTTGCTGTGATGAATTGCCATCTAGTCCAACCCCCTGCTCAAAGAAGGACCAATCCCTAGACAGATTTTTGCCCCAGATCCCTAAATGGCCCCCTCAAGGATTGAACTCACAACCCTGGGTTTAGCAGGCCAATGCTCAAACCACTGAGCTATCCCTTCCCCCAAGTCAAGAGCAACGAACCAGTCCCCAGTCTCTAAGGAGGGGATTTCAGAAGTAAGAGTAACCATGACAAATTTTGTTTTCTTCAGAAACTTGTTTAGTTGCTTTAGATCAGTGGTTCTCAAACTTATTTGATCGGGCCCCCCTTCTTTGTGTCTGTAGTCGTTAACATCTCTCCCTTCCCCCAAGTACATATACCGCGCCATTCAGTTCTGAAGGCAGCACTGGCCAGCAGCAGTACAGAAGTAAGGGTGGCAATGTGAAAAATGATATTCATCAATATCACTTTTCACAGCTGACTTAGACAGCAGACTTAGAAGTAAAGGGGAGAATGTGAAAAGTGATATTTGTCATCACTTTTCATAGCAGACTTAGTGCCCCATTGCCATCCTTACTTCTGCACTGCTGCTGCCACCCTAGGGCTGATGTCAGGGGAAGAAAGAGAGAAAGAAAAAAAAAAAAAAAAAAGACAGCACACAGGTCATGCCTACCGTGACACATTCCTGTGCCTCCCCTGGTAGTCCACCCCATAGTTTGAGAACAGCTATTTTAGATCTAAAATAAGCCTGAGACTCTCCTTTGCCATCAGGATTTGGAAGTATCAGGAATACAATCCTCTTCCTTGGAAAGGCAGGGGAACTTCCTCTATGACCCCCACAAGGAGGAGAGACTGAATATCACACTCTTGTGAGTGTGATTCTGAAGAGGAACAGGGAAGGGGAGTGTGAAGTGGGGACAGAAGTAAAGGGTATATCCCTGTATCACTGTGCTTAGGACCCACTGGTGACATGGGACCAAACACTTAGGAAGTGGGCAAAAATAGGTTAAAATCATACTGACTCAGCAGAACCTGCTGGTTCGTGATTCTCAGTTGTAACTCTCCTGTGAAATAAATCTTCCAACCAAAGAGGTCCAGCTTTCTTGCTTCTTTCCCTGTTTGCAGTAGACACTATCAGGAAACCAGGTGGTTTGTAAAAATATTAATATCCCTAAGAAGGGACATATCTCCTTTCCGCCCTTTTAACAGTGAGAGGAAGGGAGGATGCGGTATGCCATAAGATCTTGATGGGCTCTAGGATAGCTTCATTTATAGGGAGAACTACCCTAGAGGTATCAAAGGTCAAAATGTCCACCAATCTGTGCAACTTTTCTTGCACCTCCTCTGGTTGGATAAGCAGAGCCACAACCACCCTTTTTATTAAGTCCCGGTCGGCCCTGAAATCATCTGAAGGGGGTGAGGTAGACTCCGCAAGTACTGCCTCATCTGGTGATGAAGAGAAAGAGATCAATGGGTGTTGAGGGAGATCCTTATCTAACAAGAATTGGACAGGAAAGTCCTAAGTAAGCAATTCCCCTTGCATGGTACAGGTCCCAGCAAAGGGGAAATGGGGACCATGTTGTAGACGCTTCTGGTGCCTACTCAATATGGGAGGGCAGGAAGGGAGTAGGGATGCTGTAAAGCATGTGGGGAAGCCTCATGGACTCCAGAAAAGCCAATTAGCATGGTGGTGGTACCCTGATATGCACTGGCTGTTGGTCCTTGGGCTGAGATCTGGAGCAAGGTGGATAGACACTCCACTGGGGCTGCTCTGGTCTTGAGGCATGTTGCTGAGGGTCACAGACCTGCATAGCACTTGCATGACAATGTCCCCTATGTGGATTTTCCAACTTCAAAATGATTTCTCACTGGCCTGTAGCAATCTAATGTTGCAAGCTGCCCCCCACTAGCTTCTTCACTGTCAATGCAGCTCTCATTCCTGTGTCCCTATGGTGGAGGGCTGGGGCAAGATTGACATACGGATCTGGGAATTTGGCCTTTCACATCCAAAAGCTCTGCAGCTACTGCTAGTCATTGCAAACCTGCATTATGATGCGATCCTACCAGTCAGTACTTGTTTCTTGGGCCCAGAAGCAGCATTTCACCATGTGCAGCTGCTCCGTGAATGGCAACCATCAACTTGAATTGTTTTTTGCTACGTCCCTTAAGCTGTCCTCAAACAAATCGTCATATCCCCCATTGTTTTGGTACTTCCTGCGGGTCTTCAAATACAGAAATGTGCGTCTTGTATTTGAAACGTTCATAAGAATACTGCAGAGCTGTGTGTCAGGGGGTGGACACTGAAAAGTGTCACGTGGGTTTGTGGATTTTAATAAGAAAAGCATGAAAATTATGGGCCATGGATGGCATTATGGGTTAGGTCGGCATAACTATGTCGGTCATGGGTGTGGGGGTTTTTCACACCCCCAACTGACGCTTATTTATGTTGATCTAACTTTTAAGTGTACATCAAACCCCATCACATAAAAGACATCTGTCTGAATCTGTATGATTTTAGTAATCACCAAAAATTGTTACTATTTGATGGTTGTGTGTTGGTCTCAGTGCAGTACCTAGTGGACAGGTGTTGACTCCACAGAAGTTTCCATAATTCAACATCTGAGCAGAGAGCCCAAGAATCTCCACGGCATGGCGATCACATAACTTCCATTCCTATAGGTGGTCCCACTAGGCTAGGGTTAAGATACACGATTGGGCCAGTATGGGAAAATTTATAGAGTCTGGTTCTGTAGCTAAACGAAGTCTTTAGTCTGCAACGCTTTCAATTTGACACCTTTTAAAATAAATTTAGTGCTTGTGAAAAGAAACTGATGAAACACAACTAGGACCTTAATTCTTATGAATAACTGCTTGTGTCTGTGAAGTTAATCTTGTTCCTAAGTGACTGCAGGATCAGGGCCTTAAACTGTAAGTAAACTTTACTGACATTAATTTTTTTTTAAAATATAAATCCTATAGTGAAATTATTAAATCTAACAAATAAAATAAATTCATCTAATTCAATTATACAACTTCATTACCCATGGCAAAATAGGGCAATCATGATCATCTCCATAATTGAGTATCTGAATTTTTATTATAGAAAAATAATGCACTTTCAATAATACACCTAATCAGAGAATAAACCTCTTAAAGGATCAGAGTTTAAAATGTCTACAGTGCACTGATCTACTAAATATGAATATATGTACTGTAGTATACTCACTTGTCTGCCAGCATGTTTGACAGTTGCCACGGTGACAAGGTTCTTCACATCTATGAAGGCTACAATTGAGTTTGCGGCCACAAACCAAGGGACACTTATGTTCTTTGTCCTGGAAAAAATATTTATGAAAAATTAATACATTATCAATGCTTTTACCCCTCTAAAATGCCCCCCAAAATGGCAAAACATGATTAAAATCCACTACTGGCCATGGCCATATTACTGTACCCAAGGATAGAAGAAATTAACAGTCATTAAGATTCTTTTCATACCACATGCTGAGCATCTGTGATTAAGTGGGAATTTTCTGCAATATTTGTATGAAGACGATGTATACCTCAGTTTCCCCATATACTGTAGGGTTACCTAGTATGGGTGGTGGTGGTGGTGAGGGGAAGATCTGTATGCTCTGAGGGCAGGCTAAAGACAAAGGTGTGAGTGGCACCTTTTAACTTGCTGGTTAGCAGCCTAGCTGTCTGGGACAAAGGATATGTCTACACTACGGGATTACTCCAAATTTACAGAATTCGATTTTTGGCAACCGATTGTATAAAGTCGAGTGCATGCGGCCACACTAAGCACATTAATTCGGTGGTGTGCGTCCATGTACTGAGGCTAGCGTCGACTTCCGGAGCGTTGCACTGTGGGTAGCTATCCCATAGCTCCCGCAGTCTCCCCCACCCATTGGAATTCTGGGTTGAGATCCCAATGCCTGATGGGACCAAAAATTTGTCATGGGTGGTTATGGGTAAATGTCGTCAATCAATCCTCCCTCCGTGAAAGCAATGGCAGAAAATCATTTCACGCCCTTTTCCCTGGATTGCCCGGGCAGACGCCATAGCACGGCAACCATGGAGCCCGTTCAGCCTTTTCCCACTGTCACCGTATGTCTACTGGATGCTGCTGACAGACGCGGTACTGCAGCGCTACACAGCAGCATCCCCTTGCCTTTGCAAGTTAGCAAAGACGGTTACCAGCCATACTGTACCGTCTGCTGCTGTCATGGGTGCTCCTGGCCGGCCTCGGTGAGATTGGTTGGGGGCGCCTGGACAAAAATGGGAATGACTCCAGGTCATTCTCTTCTTTAAGTTTTGTCTAATGGAGAGTCAGTCCTGCCTAGAATATCAGGCAAGCCTACTAAAGTACCAGAGAGGCAAACGGCCGCTCCGGGTCAGAGCCCCAGACATCCCGCAGAAATGATGAGCTGCATGCCATTCTAGGGGGTATCCCTACAACAAGCCCACCCGTTGCTTCCCTCCTCCCCCACCCCTCCCGGGCTACCTTGGCAGTTATCCCCCCTTTTGTGTGATGAAGTAATAAAGAATGCATGAATTTGAAACAACACATACTTTATTGCCTCTGCAAGCAGAGATCAAAGGGGGGAGGGCGGCTGGCTTACAGCGAAGTCGAGTGAACCACCATTCTGCACTTGCTCAGCCTATAGCTGAAAATGGGAATCTGTGATAAGCACTAGGATAGAAGCACAGGCAGGACTGAATCTCCATTTGTGTGTGGGCCTTTGGTTGACATTGGTAAAATACAAAATGTCCCAGGATATGTATGTTGGGGGACAGTTCTAAACGGCAGCTTTATTTTTTTATTTGCAGCAAAAAGTATATGATTGTGAGCCCTGGGAGCAAGGGGTAGGTTGGGGTAGATGTGACCGCGCGGTGCTGCCGACTGGGAGAGCAGCCTGAGGCAGAAGCCTCCAGCTGGCATGATATTCCAGGCAGGACTGAATCTCCATTACACAAAACTTAAAGAAGAGAATGACCTGGAGTCATTCCCTTTTTTGTCCATGCGCCCCCGACCGACCTCACCGAGGCCAGCCAGGACCACCCACGGGACGACGATGACGGTTACCAGTCATACTGCACCGTCTGCCGTCTGCAAGGCAAGGCAAGGGGATGCTGCTGTGTAGTGCTGCAGCACGGCGTCTGCCAGCAGCATCCAGTAGACATACGGTGACAGTGAAAAAAGGCGAGAAACGATTTTTTTCCCTTTGCTTTCAGAGGGAGGGAGGGGGTGGGGCCTGACGACATACACCCTGAACCACCCGCGACAATGTTTTTGTCATTGGGAGCTCAACCTTCAGGCATTGGGAGCTCAACCGAGAATTCAAATGGTTTTCAGAGAGTGCGGAAACTGTGGGATAGCTACAGTCGTCAGTCGCCCCTCCCTCCGTGAGCGTCCATTTGATTCTTTGGCTTTCTGGTACGCTTGTCTCAGCTCCGTAAGTTTCACACTGCACTGTGTTGAGTCCCTGTTGTGGCCTCTGTCCATCATGGCCTTGGAGATTTTTTCAAATGTTTTGGCATTTCGTCTTTTGGAACGGAGTTGTGATAGAACAGATTCATCTCCCCATAAAGAGATCAGATTCAGTATTTCCCGTTGGGTCCATGCTGGGCAAACAGGAAATGAAATTCAAAAGTTCGCGGGGCTTTTCCTGTCTACCTGGCCAGTGCATCCAAGTTCAGATTTCTGTCCAGAGCAGTCACAATGGTGCACTGTGGGATAGCTCCCGGAGGCCAATACCATTGAATTAACTAATTATTAATTAATATTAATTAATTAATGGAGATATCCTATCTCCTAGAACTGGAAGGGACCTTGAAAGGTCATCGAGTCCGGCCCCCTGTATTCACTAGAAGGACCAAGTACTGATTTTGCCCCAGATCCCTAAGTGGCCCCCTCAAGGATTGAACTCACAACCCTGGGTTTAGCAGGCCAATGCTCAAACCATTGAGCTATCCCTCCCCCCAAAGGGGGAGGGGGGAATTGCGGCCACACTAACCCTAATTCGAAATGGCAATGTCGATTTCGGCGCTACTCCCCTCGTCGGGGAGGAGTACAGAAATCGATTTTAAGAGCCCTTTATGTCGAAGTAATGGCTTCGTTGTGTGGACGGGTGCAGGGTTAATTCGATTTAACGCTGATAAATTCGAACTAAACTCATAGTGTAGACCAGGCCTAAGTGGGCCTTAATCCCAGCGTCAGTGGAGAAACCATGAAGCAAATCACCGGGATACTGAAACCTGGCAACCAATGACCACAGATTGTCCCTCCTCTCTGCAGGAAGCCAAGCAGCATTTCCCCAGTTCAGGAACAAAGGACGGGGGCAGTGTGAAATGGGAGTTAAGGACTAGAGGGCGAAGATCTCCCCGCAAGCGCAGCCGTGCAGGGGAAGAGCAAGTCCTGTCCCTCCCTAGCCTGGCTGGGACTAGCAGCCCCCGGCTGGGGCATTCCCAGCAGCACAGGGGAGATCAGACCCACCTCCACCTCCGGGAACCTCCTGCAGCTGCAGGAAGCTCCATGGATGCTGCCTTCAGAGCCCAGCTCTGAATGCAGGGCAGAAGTGAGGGTGGCAATCCCGTGACTCCCCTACAACAGCTTTGCAATCTCCCCAGAACCCCCTTTTGGGTCTGGACCCTCATGGTTACAACACCGTGAAATTTCAGATATAAACATTTGAAAACGTGAAACTGACCAGAATGGACCATGAATTTGGTAGGGCCCTATTCATTTCTCTATGCTAACCAAGGTCTTCCTATGTTGCATTCTAGTCAACTAATAAACCCCTACAGTTTGACAACACTGGCTGAGTGTCACTGCAGATGCTGGTGGAGGTGCATTGCTCCCTAAGGGGTCTATCTTAGTGAGACTCACTGAATGGAGCTCTTGGTGTGATGAAGGCCCAGAGGTCCAGTCTAAGGAGGCAGGAAACCGCATGGCTTACCCTGGAGGAAGAGTGAGACCCCAAGGGGGTCTGGCACACTAAAGGGATCCTTCCTGAGACTACTCCAAAGCTGGGGTCATAGCACCAATCCTGTAGATCTATGACAGTATCTCATTGTTCAACTGGAATTTTATCAACTTAGGACTAGTATACACAAAGTGTTGGGCTGATATAGGATCTGTATTTGTTTAGGGTGTGATTTTTTTTTTTTTAAAACCAAAGTTGTTATTCTGTACAACCCCTAGCATGGTCACAGTTAAACTGATATATAGATGCCTTATACCAGTATAGTTTACTCCGCTTCCCATATGGGAATAGCTATACTGGTATAAGGCACATTTATACTGGTATAATTGTGTCCATACTAAAGGGTTGTACTGCTTTAAGTATACTAGTATAGTTAAAGTGGTACAGCTTGTGTGTTGACAAGCTCTTAGTTCAGTGGTTCTCAACCTATTTTCATATATGCGGCCCACGATATGTTACCTGGGCTGCAGGTTGAGAACCACAGTGCGCCTCCCCCAAACCCCCTCACAGACCCCTATGCCCAGCAACCCCACTCAGAGAGCCCTCCAGAGAGCGGGGCCAGGAACGGAGCCCTGGGGGCGGGGCCAGGCAGTCGGGCCCCCAGAGCCGGCCCGGCTGGCAGGACAGCCGGGCCCCTGGAGCCGGCCCTACAGTGGCCAGGCGGCAGTGCAGCCAGGCCTGCAGAGGCCGGGCTGCAAGGCAGCTAGGACCCCAGCCCTAGGGCCTTTAGCACACAGCTGAGTCCCTGTAGCCTTTAGCATACAGCTGGGCCGCAGCTGTGTGCTAATTGGGCTGCATGTGACCTGCGGGCCACAGGTTGAGAACAACTGTCTTAGTTACACAATCACACTTGGGTGCACAGCATTAATCCTAAAGACTTTTTGAACAAAGTGGTAAGGATGAATATTTTACATTACAAAACAGAGAATCTATATCTCAGCAGCCTTTTCACATACTATTTAAAAAAAAAAAATAGGTACAGATGTAGCATTTTACCCTGAACCATTTCTTAGCCCTGGTCTACACTACGGGGTTAGGTAGAATTTAGCTGCGTTAGGTCAATTTAAAAAATGACCGCGTCCACACAACCAACCCCATTCCGTTGACCTAAAGAGCTCTTAAAATCGACTTCTGTATTCCTCCCTGGCGAGGGGAGTAGCGCTAAAATCGACCTTGCTGGGTCAAATTTGGGGTAGTGCAGATGCAAATTGACAGTATTGGCCTCTGGGAGCTATCCCAGAGTGCTCCATTGTGACCGCTCTGGACGGCACTTTGAACTCCGATGCACTAGCCAGGTACACAGGAAAAGCCCTAGGAACTTTTGAATTTAATTTCCTGTTTGGTCAGTGTGGCGAGTTCAGCTGCACTCAGCAGCACAGGTGACCATGCAGTCCCAGAATCGCAAACGAGCTCCAGCATGGACCGAAAGGGAGACACTGGATCTGATTGCTGTATGGGGAGAAGAATCTGTGCAGGCAGAACTCTGATCCAAAAGAAGAAATGCAAATATATTTGCCAAAATCTCACAGGGCATGTTGGACAGAGGCTACACCAGGGACACACAGCAGTGCTGCGTGAAAGTTAAGGAGCTCAGGCAAGCCTACCAAAAGACAAAGGAGGCAAACGGTCGCTCCGGGTCAGAGCCCCACACATGCCACTTCTGTGAACAGCTGCATGACATTCTAGGTGGGGGCCCTACCACTATCCCATCCGTGACAATGTTTTTGCCCCATCAGGCATTGGGAGCTTAACCCAGAATTCCAATGGGCAGCGGAGACTGCGGGAACTGTGGGATAGCTACCCACAGTGCACTGCTCTGTAAGTCGATGCTAGCCACGGTAGTGAGGACGCACTCCGCCGACTTAATGCGCTTAGTGTGGACACACGCAATCGACTGTAAAATCGATTTCTAAAAATCGACTTCTATAATATCGACCTAATTTCATAATGTAGACATACCCTTACACTGTATAAATGAACTTACCACACAGCAAATTTCATTACACTTGTGTCGTCCACATGACCGTTTCTTGTTACATCGCTTGTCACACATAAATGTAATATCAGCTGTTCAAGTAGAAAAAATAAAGTGTTTATATTTATTATTTAAACATTCAACCTTTGACTACATATTATACGATTGCAATAACTAAATGTGTGTAGCAAGACCACATTAAAATTAATATGATGAAATGAAGAAAATAGGGTACATTCTTACAGAGGCAGCACAAATCACTGTATAGAGGCTATTATAATGAGGATTTATAATGTGACACTGGACCAAACTGTCTTTTATAATTCGTTTGAGACATAAGCCTGGTGGTTGTATTGTGGCTTCTTGCTTAATAGCGTCAATATTAAAATGACCACAACTAGTCTTTAATTAAGGGAATGTTCCTGGTAAGAAAATACCACCAACATTTGATTTTTAGACCATTCAAATTGGCGACAGATTGTAAACTGACAATACACTGATTAAATGTTCTGAGCAAAAAGTCCCTGTAAATGGCAAGTTACAAGAGAAGTGGAATCACTTGTGAGGTACCTCCAATGTGGGCTGACGCTGTTGCATTTCAGGTTACATTCAAATACCTACAGCAGTACCTAAGCATGCCTGCAGAATACTAACAAGTACTGATAAAAGCATAATTTGGAAGTTTACATTAACATACTTAGAACTACTTAAACATATTAAGAAAGCGGTTTATGAAACAGCTAATGGATTTTAAAAATCTGAAAATTTGACCATCTTTATGTTGCTACATAAAGTAGGGAATATTAGTTACCGGTGACACTGTTGTGGTCTCCTCAACTTTCATCCTACAACACTGAATTCAAAGACAGTGTTATGGTGACACCTACTGGAAGCAGGGAGGCAAAGAATTCTAAAACCCTGCCCCTGATTCCATAAGTCTCAGCCACAACTGCATCCCATCAGGAAGAGAACTTCCAGATCTATAGAGAAGGAAACAGTATAAAAGACAGAAAGAAATAAAACAGGCAGCAAAACAACACCCAAAGGGGAGGTGGATGAGATATAGTATAGAAGAGGAAAAGACAGACAGAATTACTGGTAATTTTCCCCTTTGTTGTATGTCTTTCTCTTCTATCCTACAACACTGGATTAAGGCACAAAAAGAGGATGCAGCAAGCAGTAACCCGAGGAGGTGGGACTACCTTAACATGCCACTATCAGGTCCTTGCAGCCAAAGGAGGTATCCTGAGAAGTGGAGATACCTAACTGATGACAATTTATAAAGGAGTGAGGAGATGATCATGCTGCTGTCTTACACACCTTGTTCATGAAAGCTTCAGCATGTTCACTGCTCATGAAGATTTCTCTAGCTACATGGAATCTGACAAGTTTATCTGACAGTCTGGTCATATGCTTTAAGCATACAGCATAAAACCCACTTAGCAAAAGCTATGGTAGATACAGCATTACCTTCGTAACCCTGCTTTGACTTTCTAAACTCAGAATAAGATAAAAGTTGACAACATGCTTAACATCCAATAAATGCAGCTTCTAGTCGTGAGTGGGGAATACTAGATTAGGACTGAGAGGAGAAGAACAATAGATAGAACTTGGTATCATATGAACAAATTCTGAACGAAGCCAAAAAATATCCTTCTGGAAAACAAGGGAAATAAGGAGGAGAGAAGATGAGAGTTCAACTCATTCACCCACCTGAAATCACTCTGGAAAGAAAAACCATCTTAAAAGAAAGAAGTTTGTCCTAAGGCCTCTCATGAGAGTTGGTTGCATCAAAATCTACATGGATGAGGATCAAGTTCCATTGAGGGATCACAGGATGAATCACTGGTCTTTGAGACCATTTCTTGAATACCAACAGAGGGAAATCCAAAATATCTTGGTACCACATCAGGCCACAAAGAATTTCTAGCTCTGAGAGCAAGAGAGCATACATTCTGCTGCTCTCCAGACAGTGGAGAAGCCTCTTTGAGAAATGGCTCCCTTCAAGCTGAATGAAGCCAGACTGAAATGAAGGCAATTGTAAAACAGGACCTGGAGAAAATAGGTCCAGGATACTGGGAAGCACTAATCACTAATAGGCTCATCAAATCAAAACCAGCAATAGAAGAGTGGTTGTGAAACAGAATCACAAATCCAGTTCATCAGCCTGAGCATCAGGGAAAGCAGCACTACAGTTCCCTATTGTACCTCTCGGTTGAGGGACACAAAGACATGCAGGGCACAGGCATAGCCTGTGCAGGTCAAAAGATTTCAGTCTTGTGCGCATGCGAAGAACAGTGGTACTGCTGTTATTTTTTCTTCTAATGGTCCCTTGGCACTAAGTAAGAACACTGCAGAACTCTGTGGCCTACAGGACAATCCAGACCCCCTGAAAACCAAGAATTTTTCAGCACTGCACTTTGGGGTCTCCTAAGGTTGAAAGTGTGCAGAAGGGCCTGGAATCAGTTCTTATTCTGAACCTGCCCTCAAAACTCTCATGGCTTCCTCTATCATGTAGATTCTAGTTGGTACATGCAATGCTTCTGACCAGCGAATATCCAGAAAAAGCAGCACTAAATTGGCAAATGCCACGCATATCAAGCATTGACTACAAGTGTCTGAAATGTGAAATGTTGAGCCACAAAATGAACAGCCTTCACTATTCCTAATGGTTAAACACCAGTGACTAAAGCCTCCCCCAACAACACAGGAAATTTCCTTTAATAAAACAAAGAGAAGATTAAAAGATTAAAAAGTTTAAAACTGCTATATTTGTCTAAAATCGACTATTCAGTAGAAATAAAAGGGTAGACCCACTACCAATGAGCAATTGGCTAGATGTATTCTGTGGGTTTTTTGTTTATTTTTGCCTTCCTCTGAAGCATTCTAGAAATCTGACTAGTGTGTTTTGCTCATAATGCTCGGTGTTACACTTACCATGAGATTTGGGGCTGGGAAGGAATTTTTCTCCAGGTCACATAGGCAGGGACCTTGGGGGTTTTTTTTTTTTTTTTTTTTTTTGCCTTCCTCTGTAGCATGGGGTTCACCTGCTGGGATCATCTGGGCAGATCTCACCTAATCAATTCCCTGCCATTGCAGGGCCTCTGCCGTTGGTGGCAGCTTGGTCTTTCCTGTTCTATGCCTGTGGCACACAGTATAGTCTGCTGAGAGACTGAAACGTTTTGGACTATATAAAGTCTTTGGGTTTAATATGGATTAGCATTACAATCCAATTAGAAAATTTTGCTTATGAAAACTTGAAACATTAAGAATTTCAGGAGGAGAAAAACAGATACATTTTATGCTGCACACTTTCTGTTAACTTTTTAAAACAACTATTCTGATATAAAACACTAAACTTAGGGTTAAGATTGCATAAGTGTATTTGACACAACAGTGAAAATATTAGAAAAAGGGGAAAAAAACGTTAGAAAATAAGGTTAAGTAATTGGTGGAGCCTTTTTTTGTCTGAAAAGTTCTAAAGGGCTTCCCCTCCATGAGGTTACAAGTATAGATTTAATAAAAGATCTAGTCAGAAGGAGACTGATTGCATTGGAAATTTCCAACACTGAAAGCACATAGAATGGTATACTGATGTATTTACTATTATTTGAATCCTGCTACAGATTTGAAGAACCATATAAATATATGCACACCCATGCTTTGATTCCAAAGAATTTAAAGATTTAGACCATGTTTAAGTGAAGAAGAGTGTTAAATATCTAAAATAAACCTTTAAAAAAAGCAATCAAAGCAAATAATATAGTACACAAAAGTAGCAAAAATACATAAAATCCAAGACCACCAACTTTGCACATGACATCAGAGTATTGTGTACTGGATGAAACTGATACTATACTTCATACAACCTCCACTGGCATCTGATCTCTTCATCCACATACTTTCATTCAATATATGAAGTAACAAACACAAAAAATACATCAGTTTGAGTAGAAAGTTTTTAAAGCTTCTATTTCATAAAGGTGCTAGTACACTGTTAGTATATTACAACTATTTACCTTTATTTTTGAGGAGGGCACATGGGACTTCCTAAGAAACAGATAGGAAAAGATTAAATCACAGCAAATTATATGTAGCAAGAGCTTAATGTTCTAGAAAGCTAACAACTACATACAGTATATCAAATGAAAAAAAAGTCAAGCAATTGGTTTTTAGCTACTACAAATATTCGCATACATAGTAAGTGGGGAAAAAAGACCTGATCTTAAAGGGAGGGGGGAAAATGGAGATTACTGACCTGTAACAGAATGTTCTGGTCCCTATCTGTATTCCACACAAGGGTAGGCGTGCACACCATGTGCTTGTGATCAGAGATTTCTAGCAAGTAGTGTCCATTGGTCCTGCAAGTTTTTCTCCTTATCCGCCGAACTGATGGTATAAGGGAGAGTGCAGACCAACGCCTCTCCAGTTCCTCTCTTACTGCTATAGCAGAAGAATCTGAGGCAGAGGGGAAGGAGGCTGCATAGTGGAATACAGATAAGGACCAGATATTTTGAAGAACCTCCAGTTACAGGTCAGTAACTTCCATCTCTTCTTGGAACACGAGTCCCTATGTGTATTCTACCTGTGGGTGATTGATAAGCAATGTTTAACAGGAGGGGGTATGAGGATGCAGTTGGTATAGATGCTTGTAATACCACAGTCCGAACAGCTGCATCTGTAGAGATCAACGTTCTAGAAAGCTACATCTGTAGCTGCATCTGTAGAGGAGGCTTGAACTAAAGCCTAATATTTTGTGAATGTATGGACAGAGCTCCAGGTAGCCGCTCCACAGATGTCTAGTATAGGTGCCTCTCGAAGAGATGCTGTTGAGGTTGCTTGCGCTCTAGTGGAATGGGCTCTTACCCCATTCAGAGGAGAATCACACAGGACACACAGAATGATGCAGCCAGAGATCCAGTTAGAGATTCTTTGAGCAGATACCTGTCCTCGCAACCGTTCCACTATAATGCCAAACAGTCTTAGTGATTTATTAATTGATTTTGTCCTTTGCAGGTAGAACACTACAGCGTGTCTGATGTCCAAAGAGTGAAGTCTCTTTGGAAGTATGAGATTTTGGGAAGATTAAGCAGATAGGTCAATTGATGCAAAGCTCAGAAATTTCTTTACAGATGGATTTCAGGTGAAGGAGAAGGCAAAGGGAAATCTTCTTCTGACGAAAATAGCATAACCACAAGTGCTCCCAATTTGCTCTGGTTTCTGGCTGATGTGATAGCAACTAAAAAGGTGACCTTCATGGGAATGTGGGACATAGAACATATTGCCAGTGATTCAAATGGTGATTTGATAAGTATTGATTGTACAAGGTTGAGGTCCCATTGTGGTTCAGTTTTCACCACTAATGAGAAGGTCCTACCTAAACCTTTCAGGAATCTAATTGTTGTTGGGTCAGTAAGAATGGAATATCCTTCTACTGGAGGGCAGAAGGCATGATTGCTGCTTGTTGGACCCACAGGGAACTAATGGAAAGCCCTGAGATGGTCTGTCCAGAATAACAGAATAGTACATCTCCCCTGGAACCATGGCCCAGGCCTGTCCTGGAGCAGTAAAGGGTGAACTTTTTGTTTGTTTGGGATGCAAACAGATCCCAGGATGGTGTTCCCCACTATGCAAAGATCTTGTTCAGGATGGAATTGGGTATCTCCCCCTCATGGTCTGTGGGCAAAGTGCTTGCTGAGACTGTATGCTAGAGAATTCTGCATGCCTGGTAGGTACATAGCAGAGAGAATTATGTAATTTCTAGTGCACATAGAGAGGAAGGGATTTTTGCTCCACCTGGTTGTTTATGTAAAAGACAATCATTATGATGTCTGACAGTATTTGGACACGGTGGGACTGAATAAGTGGGAAGAATGCATTGCAGGTGAGATGGACTGCTCTCTGCTCTAGTAGACTGATATGGATGCTGGCTCCTGAGTAGACCAAGTGCTTTATGCAGTGTGGTTGTCCAGGTGGACTCCCCATCCAATCAGGGTTGCGGCTTTGACAATGGTTGCATCAGCTGTGGATGTAATTAAAGAAACTCTCACACATACTAGTTCTGGGTTTATCCACCAAGCAAGAAAAGCTGTGACCTTGGTGGAAATTGTTACTCTGGTGTTTATGTGGTCTCTGCCTGGTGAGTAAATAGAATGTAGCCAGGCTTGTAAGCAATGTAGGTGAAGCCTGACAAATGGTGTTACATACGTACATGATGCCATGTGCCTAATTGGGAAAGGCAGACCTTGAAAGTGGTTTATGGTCTGAAAGTGACTTGTCTTATCAAATTGTTCATGGTCTGGAATCTTTCCAAAGGGAGATAGGCTCTTGCTGAGATCAAATCTAGGGTTGCTCCTATAAAGTTTATTGTCCTTGTGGGAATCAAAGTAGACTTTTTTAGTTAACACAGATTCTCAAGTCTGCTAGAAGCTGGAGCAAGAACAGAGCTACTGACTGGACTGCCTGACTGAAGTGACCCATTAGGAGCCAGTCGTTCAGATATGGAAGACTGTATAAACTGTGATGTCTCATTTGGGCTACACCACTCAGAAAGCCTTTGTGAAAGTGGTGTTGCTAGCCCAAATGGGAGTACTCTGAACTGGTGGGGAGACACTAAGATATACTAAGATTAAAAACCTCAAACAACACTAAAATATTAAAGAAAAACTATGTACAATATATTTAGAGGTTTGAAGATGAAAGAAGCACTGAGAAATCTGTGGACATAGCAGATTCTGACTCAAGTCATGCGGCAGTAAGAAGGACCTAGAGAGGCATCAGTCTGCCCCAGCCCTTATGCACTTGGTTCAGAGCATGGGGAGAACAATTGCACAGGTGTGGGCCAGTGGACACTACTTGCTAGAAACCTCCAATTTCAGGCACACAGGGTGCATGTATACCCATGTGTGGAATACATATAGGACATAGCAGTCAAAGAAGAACCTCAAAATACCCATTTTATGTTTATATATCACACACATTTTTAACTGCTCTTTTTCTTAGAGGTTCTTCAACATGAAGAGTAGAGTAGTGCACAGTTTTTTTACCTCCTCACCTCATTCCCAAAGAAATGTTAGCCATATTAATGGTGACAACATCTCTGAAGGGAACAGACAGACACACACACTGCAAATTAAGCACTAGCAGAGCATCCCTTTTACCTATCCAGAAAAATATTTTATCTTCCTGCTTCTAAAAAAAAAAAAAAAAAAGCCACAGCACATCTGACTGTTTTTGTCTTCTATTATTTTCAAAGATTCAAGTGATAAATCCAAATCCATTTTTAAAAAAATTAATGGGGGAGAAAATTGAGGAATTTTTATATTATTCTTTTAACTGGCCACTAGATATTTTGCACTTTCACCTGAGATCTATTAATAAAATAATGCAGGAATTTTAAAGAATTCTACTGTAATCTCTTGGGGTTATTTTGCTTCAGTACCATTTTGCTGCACTGTTGGGAATCCTATTACATATCCCAGAACAAAAGTTTCCATTAATAGTAAATTTAAATCTTACCAGAAATATGCCTTCTCATAACAAGAAATCCTCAAGTCTGAAATTCATGACTGAAGGGTTAACCACACCCATATGTCCACAGTGGCTATAAATACTGTCAGAGTTTTGGTGCTTGAACTACCCCCCATAGGCACTCAGCAAAAGCATAATAGTCCAGTCAAGAACCTTTAAATTGTCTATTCTCAAATACATAAAATACTTTAAGTCAGAAAGCCATGCCAGATGCAGTAGCAAGCAGTCTATCAAGAAAAGAAGGGAGGGGAAGCAGAGGCAACGAGTGGGGAGGGGGCATGCTGGGTCACATACCCCCACCCCCCAGATTGCTGGGTCGCATGGTGCAGCAGGGCCCCCTTACTGTGGAGAAGCTGAGCTGGTGAGCTTCACCAGGCAGGTTGAGGCAGAGGCAGGAGCGGAGGAACAACTGGGAGCTGCCTGGAGGGGCTGCTGTTTTTCTGGAGGGGGGAGGGCAGCCAGGAGGGTGGGAAGGGGGTGACTCAAACTGTTCCGGGATGGTGTCCCCACTCTGTCAGCATGCACGGGTTGTCTATAAGGGGAAGAGGGGATCTCTTCTCAAAAGATGCTCTAATTCTTGCTATCCCAAGAAACAGATGTTTGGAATGAGAGAAAGTGGAGACTTAAATGGGAGAAAAGTAGCAAATTGATCAGCATCCCTGCTATTGAAGGGATAGAACCACTTGGTTCTAAGATACTACAGGCCTGCCCTGAGGAAAAACAAATCTTCAACCCACTACAGTTAGAGAACAGTGACTGAAGTAGAGGATTGTACACTTCGTTGCTTATGCAAGCTAAACTGGCAGGTGTGGGGGGTGAAGGTGGGGGAGGAGGGGTTGGGAACACAGTCTCTATCCCTGAACTTGTAGTAATTTTACAGGATACTACCACTAAACCTATATGTTATTATTAAATTGTCTAAGCTGATCCTCCTCTTCTCTTTGTTGCTTTATCAGATTCGTATAAACAATTTTCTCATGACAATGCCTATTTGCAGCTGTAAGCAGGGGAACCTGAGCAGTGACATCAGAGGTAACTAAGCCAGTTGCTCACTCCCCCTCCAGTAACCATAATCCTGTTACCTGGCTTCCTATTGACAGTGACTGTTTGGTGCTGCAGGTGGAGGGAATCTCTCTGCCCACAGCACCAAATGGGTACTGTTTAGATGAACAGTGTTGACTAGGCAAGGTCAATGATCTTGCCTGAGTCAGTCATAGTGTGGAGGGAGCCACAGTGCAAATCTCCAGCCTCACTCCTACTCAGCCAACATAGCTCCTCATGTGAAGCAACCCCTGCTATTCCAGACTTCAATCGTCCTCCCCCACATAAACAGTCAAAGCACTTCGGTCTTGACTTGTAACTCCATTTCCATTCCATTCAGTTCCATTTCCATCCATTTCAACCAACGGAACTGAAGGATGCAAGTGAACTGGAGGGAGGGACTGAATTACCGTTGATGTCAAAATGCTCCCGTACCTGCAGCACCAAATGGGCACCCTATGGAAACGAGGCTTTTCTGA